CTTCCTGCTCTTAGTACCCTGCAAATAGAGCCTGCCACCAGCTGCTCCATGGGCCCCTATATCTATCCCAACATGCAACACCCTTGGTACAACTTCCTGAAACAAACTAGGAGGTGTTGTGTATGAGATAAGGGTGTTGTGTGTGTGTATATATTAGGAAGAAGGGGTGTTTGTATGTATTTTCACAGTCTTGTAATTCTATCCAAATGGCCACTCTAGGACAGAGACATGAGATAAAGCTCCAAAGTGCAGATTATTTACTTTGAAAACTCGGGTCAAAGTTACAGTAATAAATAAAAACTACAGAAATTTGTACAATCAGGAGTTTCTAGTCGTGGCATATGATGAAAGAATAGAAAACTCACTCTTAACACCATTATAACTGTACATATGTACACAGCACCTTTCTAGTCTTCCAACCACAGAAATTGTTTTACACAAAATGTCACATCCACCCATTCACACATTGATGGCTGTCATGCAGTGTGCCAACTGCTCATCAGAAAGGAACTAATCATTTACGCAATTTGGGGTTCAGTATCTTGCCCAAGGACACGGGGGCTGGGAGGATTAGTGGACGACCCAGTGATTGGAAATGAAGTGACAGTGAATAGGAGATAAGAGAAAAAAAACAGCTCCTCTGTGTCAAGAAGCAAAGAGGTTTTAAGAAACACAAGCACCAGCAATACCACTGATGTGAGAATACAGGCCACCAACCAAACCAATGCCTCATTCTTATATTAATAACAGGATTTTTTGGATATTTGTTGCAAAGCTATGTAACACACCTTTCATGTGAAAAGTTGACTCTTGGTTTCACACAGGACATGTATCACGGCCTTGTGGGTGAAAAGTACTGTATTTGTTTGACACCCCCATCCACACGGACTTTCTCGCTCTGTATAATACATCACTTGAATTCCTAAATACTTTCTGGCAACCTGATGCGTCTAACACAGAAGCTAAAGGCTACGTTGACTGTATGACACGCCGAGGGCCACTAAGCGTTGGTATTTGACGGCCCGGGGATGAGACCGGCTTGAAAGCACATGAACATTTTAACACAACAATTTCCACAACATGTACAGCTGAGGCTCATTTTGTAGGTTTTGGTTGTAAACCAAAGCATTGACGCATTGTTTTGACCTGATGTCTCTAGACATTTCACATTGAATAAATGCTGCCCTGACTCTTCTTCAGGATGTTAGATGAATCCTAATGACCAAAGTCAGTCCATCGCTTTAGACCAAAGTGAACCAACCAACATTGCCATCCCTAGAGCAGCAACTAGTGTGGCTAAAAGTGGTGGAGATAAAAACCTTTTAACATGTTTGTGTGAGGCAAAATGAACAGACTGTTTGTTTTCTAATGCCTGCCTAATAGCTATTTAGAGTGAACAAATGCATACACATCTTTTGGCTCATGACCACCAACTATGAAAACATCAATCAAACTTGTTTTACTCAAATTCCATTGGGGAGAGAAACTAAAACTAAATCAATGGCTGTATGGAGACTGTGCATTAGCTGGAGGTATTTACTAGCATGGAAATGAGCCCATTATGGGAATATCAATAGTAGGATGCTCTCTCTGTCTCTCTCTCTCTCGCTGTGCATCCATCTGCCTGTCTATCTAACAAGGTGCAGTATAACTCAACCGAATGGACAACTAACCAAGCAGCAGGCAATCAAGATCCATTTGCTGAAACAAATGAATGAATTATTAATTAACAACAATTGTTGTAATGAAAATATTTTTTAATCATTTAATTTAGCAATCACAAGTACTGAGTATAAAACATTTACTGGTTTCAGCTTCCAAACTCCATCATACACGACTGTTTTTGGACTGTTATTTAGACAAAACAACAAATTTTGAAGATGCCCTTTACGCTTTAGGAAACTTTTCTCTCTTTTATTCTGACATTTTATACACCAAACTAAACACAGAGAAAGTGCACAGCAGTTGCAGCCCTAAATTGTCTAATCTGAAAAATAATCAACACATCAATCAATATGAAAGTAATATATGCTGCCCAACATTTACCTGCTCAATGTAGACAAGGTGTGGCTGATCTAAAATAGTGTCTTGCATATACAGTGGATGTGCATAGTTATGCAGTAAATAACATTCTTTTCAAGTAAGTTCAAGCAGTAGACGATGGCTCTGAACCTCTGGGACTCCTCTTGTTGTTTTGTGGCTATAGGAGTGAGAATGAGAAAGGATCTATCTGTGTTTAGGCAGAGGATGTGACATTTTCCGTGCCCACTAAAACAGCAGCACACTGCAGATTCTCCATGGCTAGGATTGACCAGGCACCCGTCAGCTTTCCTTTATCCCCGCTGTGCCCCAACCCGCCCCTAATCTGCCTGATCGATGGCCCTGGATCGTTGTCGCCAGGCAACCAAGGATGACACCAAACCTCTCACAGTGTGTGCTACCTAACAATCCATCCACCGCTTCACAGCTAGAGAAACACTATCAGAAATCAGTCTGTGGGGGAAATACTTAAAGAATTACACAAAAGAAAGGGGGGGTGGGGCCAGGCTTGTTAAGGATAAATCGATCCCTGAATTCTCTTGAAAGCACAGAGAATTGTTCACTGGGTCACGACAACGACCTCCTGTCATAGTGACTCGACTGGATGACAAGACAGGCACAGTCTGTGCCTCAGTGCAAGGCGAGAGTTAACAGGTGACACTGAAAAACCCCACTGGCTTTCTTCTTTTGTTTGGTCTTACGGCCTCTGAGGGATGGATACAGTAGGTCCTTGCATATGCAGAGAAACTAGTTTTATATCCTCATTTGGCTCTTGTGGACAGACAGTTCTGAACCAAATGCCATTTTGTCAGAGAGAAATCCATTTCAGCTCAGATCTAGGTGACCCTCATCATCAATAATGACTCTTATTGTGTGGCAATAATAGACTTGAAGGCCACTTTCTTTCCTGTTATATTGAGGAGGTGTGAGCAGCGGTATCTGTTCAGGCATAATGCATACTAAGAAGTGGAATTAGAAATGTTGCATCTTTTTGTAAGACAGGTGTCACAGGTCTATCTGTTTTTTTCTTTGAAGTTTCAGATTTACAGCACTGCTGGATAGCTCAGACTTACTTCCTGTGGTGACCTTAGCATCCCTCCCAGGAACTTTCATGTCTATCTATAGCAACAGCATCATGTTGATTGTGGTCTGGCAGTTTGTCATTCTTTTACTCTGTATCTGTCCATGATCTGACCACATTTGAGGTGGTCAGATCATGGCCTGATTTGCTGATTTAGAGTGACTTTCGCTCAGTCTCACTATACGATTAGGACTGAAGCTGTAGGGATACACTCCCCTTTCTTTGTCTATCTTGTCTTTTCCCTCCATCCCTGCAGTAACGTGTATATGTGTATGTGTGTGGCTGAGACAGCTTGTGAAACCTGTAATTGAGTGTGTCCGCCCACCGCGTTGCACCAGGGACGGCGCAGTGGAGGGCTTCATCGTGTCAGGCACAAACCCTTCTCACACTCATAGAATCACAACATTGAGGAGCCAAATGAGGCAGCGGGGTGTGTTGTAGTGGATTTTGTGGATTTTACCTCTTCAGACACAAGAAACACAATTAGGATTTTAGCAAAAAATAGATTCCCTCAGGCTACTCATACTCTTAAACCACTCTTCTCTAGGAACAAACATGCATTTTGTGTATGTGCATTGTGTGTATATGTAGTGAAAGTGTGACTACAGTAAGCTGTGTTGCTATGGTTTCCTACTGTGAGGACTTAGTCAATCACCAAGAAAAATACCAATGCACATTTCTCTCTGAACTAATTTCTGCAACAAATGTGTTAAAGAATGACATTTAAAATCGAATCTGCTAATATGCCTACTTAACATGCTTGCATTTTGTTGTATACCACAGACTGCGTTCGAGCGTGTCAAGAACAGATAAAGAATAATGGTTTCCTGTTGAATGGGGAGCGAGTCTGTCGGTTTTTCTAACAAGCCACACTGAGGTCAAAGCTGGTCAAACTGTCTACATCCTGCGATCAAAATGAATTTATTTGTATGCTGAATTTGCATCGGTACAAAGCAGGTATGGATGTATAAATATAAATCAGACTTAAGACATTATGGAGGTTTGAAGACCAATACGGACAACGCAGCCACTTATGTAGTTTGCAATACCACAGTGCAAAAATACTAAAAGTACAAGTAAAAGTCCTGCATTCTGAATCTTCGTTTAGTAAAAGCAGGTAAGCGTTATCAGCAAAATATATGTATCAAAAGTAAAAGTACTCAACATCCAGCCGCACTATTTCATAGCTCAAGTAAATGAAATAATCTATATATTTACAGTTGTAGCTGGTTGGGGTGGAGCCAATTTAACACTTTTTATATACTATTGGCTAGTTTAACTCATAGTATTTTATAAGTGCAATGTAGTAGTAGTAGCAGTAGTATCAAAATGTGTACTAAATTTCCTGATAAGTCATGACTTTGCCCCTTTTATTCTGTATGGCTGCTTGTGTTAACATATGGGAGGGTTTGTTTTTGTAATCACAACTCAGTTGTCACATTGACAATCGTATCTAAAACTTTCAAACAATGCCCTGCTGTACATTTCAGAGTAATACGAATCCACAGCTGAATTTTAGACCATAATGAGACATTTAAACTCTCCACTGAAAGCTGGACCAATTAAACTGTGCGCCATAAAGAAGAACGAGTCTCAATGCAGGTTTTACAGATTGACACCTTGTCAAATCAAACCATTGTGTTGGCAAGGGATAACACTGACAGGCAGATATTTAAAATTAATTTACCAGTCCTAAATGTAGTGTAAACAGTCCCTGATTATCTCACTAACTGCAGCGTGGAGCAGGATGCAAAATAACTAACCACACAACTATTCCAAACACGCCACAGTGGCCACTTTGAATTTCATTTCCCCTTTGCTTCATAATTGCTCTTTTGCTTGCCTTTGATCCTTTCTTTTCATCTTGTTTTGTGTTCAGTGAGAAGCAGAGTCAAGAGTCAGACCGCAGGGAGAGAGGAACAAGGGAAAAAACAGAGAGGAAAGGAACTATGGAGTCCATATTATCGGAGCAGTCGGCCACAGTGGACGAGCTGTTGGAAGCGTGCATCCAAGCCTTTGGTTGGTCATTTGAACACTATTTCTTTGATATCGATAATTTCATGTATTCAAAATGAGTCAATACAAACAAATTAAGTTAATCACCCATAACATTACTTTTTTATGTGAATGATTTGGAATTTAGAAATCTTCTGTAGAAATGTACAGTGCTTGGTGCATCTCCTGATGATGAGTGACACTCTGCTTTCTTGTTATAGATGAGAAAGGTACTTTAAAGGATGCTTCCTTGGTCCGGATGTTCCTCATGATGCAACCCTGGTACATCCCTTCATCCGACATGGCTAAGAAGCTGGTGCTCAAGTATCCTTCATTTCAGAGATGTTCTGTAAACATGCTCTGTTTGGTATTTGTCCAAAAATATCTCTTCACACGGGGCTGACAGAGCAGTGGAATCAAAGAATACAGTACCTTGATGCAGAGCTTTGCACCTTGACTTTTGGATCAGATCTCAAGAGGAGAGCTGCAATGCTGAGCGTCGAACAAGAATATGCCACCTTGTCAAGTAATGAACAGTCATTCATTCTTCCTTGTCGTTCAGTGTTTTATTTGGTTAAAAGTCACCTTTTATCATCAAGTAAACCAACTAGATAATTCAAAGGTCTTAAACTTATTTTTTTAACTATTGTGTAGATGTAGACAAGTCTATCCTTCAGTATTTCTCATTTATCTCTCTTTTTATCCCTTTGTTCTGCCTTCCAGGTATTGGATCTCTGAGTTTCCAGCAGAGTTCAATCTGAACCCAGAGCTGGCGGACCAGATCAAAGACTTTAAAGACCTCTTGACCACCGAGGGCAACGAGCGCCAGAGTCAGCTCATTGACCTCGACAGTGTGTGAGTGAATCGGTTGCTGAGAGCTGTGTGTTGCTGACAGTGTGAATGAAACGTCTCTGTCTGTGGGTGTGTATGTCAGCGTTCTCAGACATTGCTGCGCAGGGTCAGTGCCCTCCCACTTTCCACAAAAGCCATTTCTGTGTGACCTCAACTTCCCTTTTATTGTTCCATAAAGAGAATGCTTTGTGGAGCAGATATGCGAGTTACTGCAGCAGAATGTTTGCAAATGAGGAAATGTCCTTCCAGAAATACATCCTGCTTTTATAGAACAAAGTTGGATAGTTTGTATGTTGCTTCAATATCGCTTGTGTCTTACTGGGCGTGTGGTATTTTATTAACTATGTAATGCTATTTTTCATCATTATCTTTCTTGGCTATCTAATGCTACTGTAAGTGCAGCTCAAACATGTGTCATAATGATAAAGCTGATCCTCACATTGGTGTGAGGAACAGACCTAAGAAGAGAAAAGCTTTTCATAAAATATTCTGTTTTTATGTGCTTCATCATCCCTCCCAGGCCGTCATATAAATGGAAGCGGCAGGTGACTCAGCGTGTCCCATCAGTGTCCAAAAAGAGGAAAATGTCCCTGCTGTTTGACCACCTCGATTCCTGTGAACTGGCTGAACACCTGACCTACCTGGAGTACAAATCCTTCTGCAAGATCCTGGTCAGTGTGAAGAGCAAGCTTTGAAGCTGTGTATCTAGTAGGATGTTTACAGCTCCTTAATTATTAGAATTTTCAAGTAATGTTAAACGCTGCAGGCTTATTGTAGTTGCTAAGCAATAGTGGTTAAAATGGACTTTTATTGGCAGTAATTATATTTATTGTCTGGAAACATTTTGCTCTTTTAGGATTATTTTGGGAAGCAAAGGCAATGACTGGGTTTGTGCTGATTTGAATGGCACGTTTTTTTGTTTTGATAATTTATTCCAGTTTGATGGTGTTGGTGGGAAGACAGGGGCAGTGGTAGTAATTTGTCTTGACTTTGTGTTTGTTTCTCTTCTAAAAGAGATTCTGGCTCAATATAAAACAAAAGAAGGAAAATACATAGAAATATAGAGCATATAAGCTACTTGGTCAAATGTGCAGTAATGATAGTTTTCTGCATGTCTACCAGGTGAAAACAAATCACTAAAAATTGGCTTAATCAGCCAGCCAATCCACCAGTTGGTTGCTTTGTTATAAACGTTGCTGCCTTAAAGGAATAGTTTGACAGTTTGGGAAATACACTTACTTCAAATGTAAAAATCTTTTGGACAGAAATAATAAGTCACATAACTCCTCATGAAACAGGGAATTGTTGTTTTCATGCTTTGGTTTCTGTACAGATTAAACTAACAAAATATACTGCGTAAATTTGTGAGATTTTGTTGCCTTTGGCCACAGCCAGGCTACCTGTTTCCAGTCTTTGGGCTAAGCTAAGGTAACCAGATGTTGCTCCAGTTAAATATTTACCGCACAGACTTGAGAGTGGTATTAATCTTCTCATCTAGGATAGCAAATCAGCATATTAGAAATATTGACTATTCTTTAAGGGGGCACTCCAGTGGGTGCTAGTGGAGACTAGTGTCTGTTGTTAGATCTTTTCTGCCTTGTAAATGCCATGTATTTGAAGGTTGGCTGTAAGTGCTGGTCTTGTGCTTGTTCGTGCTTGTAGTTTCAGGACTATCACAGCTTTGTGATGCACGGTTGCACAGTGGATAACCCCATCCTGGAGCGTTTCATCACCCTTTTCAACAGCGTCTCCCAGTGGATCCAGCTCATGGTGCTCAGCAAGCCCACCGCCCCGCAGAGAGCTGCCGTCATCTCCCACTTCATCAGAGTGGCACAGGTCTGTCTGCTGGGCCCATTAAGACAGTTTGCAAAGGTTTTAAGACTAAGTGGTGTTGGTGGGAGTTGCATGGTTCAGGAAGCGTGTAGAAGCCGGCTGAGATGAATGCCTGGAGCTAAAGAGAAAAAGGAGGAGGTGAATAAGAGATTAAACCAAGAGATGTGGAGAAAAGGGGAAAAGTCACAGTGGAGCCTTGATGACTCACACACGCACGCACGCACGCACGCACGCACGATGATGTGATGTGATCATTTCCCATTAGGTGGCATAGATTGTGAAAAAATGTGAATTTAATTTGAAAAGGCTTTAGGATGTTTTAATGCCTACTGAGAGCTGTTTTGGATAATGCTACTGTCAGGGAAAAACCTTGCATCTCCAGGAATTAAGAAAACCTTTTTTAGCTGGGTGATGATGCGTTTTTGGCACTATCCAAAGGCTTTTATGGGCCAAAGGGGTTTTGAAATTGTCACAACCAATGGAGGAGCAAGTAAAACCTCAATTTATTTTAAAGAATGAAAATCACCTTAAATTGAGAAACAAGATTTTTTACAGCTAGACAATAAAATGTTATAAAAGAGAATATGCTCTTTGCTGCAAAGAATAGAACATGAAATTAAGACATAGTGTGTCGTCTATTCATTATACAGTTTGTGCTCTTACTGTTGGCTAGAAAGAATTCAGTCATGCATCCTACAATAGAGGAATCAGTGGGGAATGTCTGCAGGTGGCATGACTCTCAGCTGAATGTAAATGATCCGATACAGAGAGGACCATTTAAAGTTACTCTAAAGTTGACTGAAATTTTACAGTGAGTTTGAAGAATGTTATTACCTTGCTAGAAGGGCTCCAGCCATGCTAGTGGCTGTGGGTACAGTGGTGCTTTAAGCGAAATGCTAAAATCAGTTTGCTAACATGCTCCCAGTGAAAATACATTTGCTAGCAATGTTTACTAGTTTCACCAGCTTAGTTTAGCATGTTAGCATGCTAACATTAGCTAGGTAGCACTAAAACAAGGCTCAATGCCATTAGTTTAGTTAAACTTAAAGTATTGAACAACCTGACATTTTGACCTGATGATTACTCTAGATGAAAAGTTATTACATCCCAAGAGGGGCATGAACATGTGTACCAAATTTAATGGCAACCCATCTAATAGTTGTTGAGACATTTCACTGTGATCAAAAAGTGCCAGGGCATCACCATCTAGGGACAGTGAATATCTGTAGCCTACAACATTTTGTGTCAATACTTTTAGTAGAGATATTTACAGAATATTTTGACATGCTGGGGGCCCTAGAGCTAAAGGATCAACAAATTTCTCTTAGGACCATTGCTATCCCCGGAGCCGTGCCATTTACATGACTAATAGTCTTTTACCTGCTTTCTCTCTACTGAGTGTTCGCTCATTCCTCTTTAGGAGTCACTTGTCTTTTGCACATTGGCCTGGTAAATGTTGCCTGTTGGAAAGATTCCCCACTGTGTATTTCAAGTACAAACATTGCCTAATAAAACTCACATTAATCCTAAATGAAAGTTAGACTATCCTTTATCTGTCCATCTGTCTGTGTAGCTCTTTATTTCTATGCTCAACGATTTAAATCATCTACGGTCATCTACAGGTCAAGATGGTTCTAATCCTAATCTCAGTTTAATCTGCTCTCTCCCCAACAAATCCCAAACAAAACAGTCAGTTTGCTGCCTTAAATGGTTCTCTGCCCACATGTCTGGAGACTATCGTCCTCTCTCTGCAGAAACGTGCCTTTAAATTGTGTCCTGGGGTTCACTGAAATTGTTATCATTTTAGTTTGATGTTATAGTTTGCTTTGGTATGCCGGAAGGGCTTGGTTCTTCCTCTATGTGACAATTCACTCATCTTTTCTGTACCAGGGAGCTTCAGAAAGTGCAGAAAAAAAAATTCATCCTAGTAGACTGCAGTACCAAGTGAATGCATCCTCATTACTCATTGCGAGACTAGTCTTGGATTGTTTTCATTCTCCTACCCATTTCCATTATGTCTTTGTCTTCATCTGCAGAACAAACTTATGTGGCTTATCATTTATTTATCAGGATCTCAGCAGGTTTCACCTCCTCCTTCTGTCTTAATACACCAGCACTCTAACACCTCAGCAGGGCTCTGACCAAGTGTCTTCACCCTCCTTGATATTCAACACTTGAACTTTTTCCAATGGTGAAACGGGGGAGTCAGGTGCTGATTCTAAACCAGCCTTGATGTGTTGAGAATGACCTCCTTCTTGTCTACTCCATCCTGAGTCATGTCTGTGTCCTTTGAGCATCTTTCAAATTTTTATTATTGATTTGGTACAGAGGGGCAGGGCAGGTGCTGAAGAAAAAAAAAAATTATATAAAATATATACTGTGTGTGTATATATATTATGTTATACTGTATTTTACTGATGATCTGTCAAATCTAAAGTATAGCCTTTTGGATCACATTGATGAAACAAATAGGTAATTTGTAATCATTAGACCATTGCAATAGATTTGGACATGAGGGTTTTAAGGATTTGTTACATTGTTCGACTGCCAGACTGTGTTGTAGGTAGAGAGACAATATTTTTAGGTTTCAGTTGTATACTCTGCTGTGCATTGTACCCGGATAATTTACCCAGACTTTTCACCCAGAGTCATCATCAAGTCGAAATTTTGAGTTTGTCTAATAGCATTATGCATATTGACATTATGATAAGCCTTAAATGTACTTTTTGTTTAGTGCTAGTTAGCAAATATTAGCATGCTAACATGTTAAATATTAGACTAAACATTAGCTAAACATGCTAGCATTTAGCTCAAAGCACTACTCAAAGCACTGCTGTGCCTGAGGACAGACTCCCAGAGTCTCTAGTGTGGGTGACCACAAGAAAAGACCAGAGTCGAATCTGTCCATATATTACATGTTTCATAAGTTTTCATATTCTGGCAGAGGGTAAACCAGCAGGATGTAAAAGGTTAAATCATGTAACATTTTTTTTTTAGCATGACACAATAAGCACAGTGAACGTTGTGTCTATTGTTTTATTGCTTTTTTCTTTCTTAGTCTAAACTGTGCGACTGTGTATTATGGCCATTGTAGATATAAAATATATAAATCATGGAGGGGGGTAATATTCCGAGAAAAAATACTTCCCAAGATGAAAGTTATAAATGTTAAATTTCTTTAGGTGTCTTAATTGATGTAACAGGGAAAGATAAGGCAGGTCTAGCTTACATTAGCTGACCCCACAAGTGTTGACTGACCTTCCAGCTCTAGTTATTCCCCACATGTAACTGTCCTTGTTAGGTAGACAACAGTTAGACTGATAAGGTAGAGACAGTAGCTCAGGCATCAAGCTAACAATTATCGGTATTCCGTGGGAATCTTACAAGGTTGAGTATTACAAGAATGTTTACAAGAACTCACTGGCTCCACAGATTAGAGTACAACTCATGGATAAAACACATTCCAATATGACGTAGCATTGGAGTCTGAACATCAGATAGATTAGCTGTCCTAGGTTAAGGCCAGCTAAAGATGAACTAATAGAGAAAGCTACAGGCACTGGTGGAAGACAGAAACATAAAAGGGACCAAAAGATATTCAGATTTGGTGTAGGCATTTGACGTGTTCACATTTTGTATACTGGCACTGTATCTCCTCGGCCGGGCTCAATAAACCATGCTATGTTAGTCTTCATCGCTCTCTTCACATCTGAACCTGACTCACAATATTTCTTCAACAATAAATATATGAGAAACCCCCAGATTCTCTAAGATCAAAGTGGTACATTTATGAGAAAAAAGCTTTCTCAAAATTGTGTGGAGCTTTCAGACACTTAAGACAAATATGAGGGACTGCAACTAAGCTTGTTTCACAAAAGAAGAACAGAAGGCGTATCTCATAATACTGGTTGGTGAAAGTAGCATATGTGATGGCTGTTATTATCATTTGCATACCCTGCTTCCTGCACAGACCCATTTATAACTCACATATGCTCTGAGAATAATTACGTTTTTTTCTGGGAATATTACCCCCTTCCATAATTTTTCATTTTTTTAATTTAAATTTTGACATAGAATGATTTTTATCAACTGCACTTGCTTGAAAGTGTCCACATAATGATAATTAGTGTTTCCCACATCTGAGTGTCCAGAAGTCATTGCAGACTGTGTCATTCATACAGAATGGGTGAACATTTGGGCAGATCAGAGACTGACCATCCCCGCTGGAAATCCCGTTGTTAATTCCATGCAAATTTGAGATGCCTGAAACTTTGGTATTCAGAAATGTAGCCCAGTGCGAGCACATGCAGGGACAAAAATTAGGCAGCACAGAAGGTAGCCTCGACATATTTGACATTTCCCAAAGCTTCCCTCAGGCTGTGATCGTTGTGTCCCATTTTAGCTTCCTGTTGGGAGCGCGTTACAAATGACTCATGTTCAATAGTCTTCTTCTTGACTGCACAGACTTGCGTTATAATTTAAAATGCAAAAATTTCCCTTTTGTGCTTATTGAAAAGCTCAGTGCCAATAAATTTCACAATATGTTCTGTGTGTGCCTTCTGGCTTCGCTAACTAAAAAACATCACCAATCGGCTGTGTGATGACAATTGGTTGACAAGATGAACTCCATTTCCCAGCTCTATCTGGCATTTATTCTAAAGCTAGTGGAATGGCCTGACATGTGGACAATGAAATCTTCCCCAGGCCTCGCTGGCGGCCACATGCATGTGCAGTTTAGCTGAGCCTACTGGTCAAATGCTGGGCTGCCCTCCGCACTGCTTTGCCAATTGATTCTAAAGGGTGTATGAGCTGAATCAAATGATCCCCTCTGGCGGCCCTCCCACACAGCTGTGACCCCATTGATTTTCTGTGAGATGCTACGCAGGCTGAAGGGCAGCATGGAGGCCTGCAGAGTGCCATTCACAAAGTATTAGCTTACGTTTAACACAGGTTAGAACTTTCAGTAATATCTTGGTTTACTCGGCTTAGGTTTATGTGTGGATGTGCATGTGGGTTGCTGAACACTATTCAAAAGGTCTCTAGCGTTATTATTGTCCTCATATTCCCTTTCCTTATACTGTAAATATTTTTTAACCTATACCACCTTCTCTCTTTCACTCTCTCTTAAATCCTTTTTGGCGGTAGATAACACATTCCATCCCTGTCTCCTCTTTCACCCTCGCTCCTAATATTTCCTCCCTCTCGTCGACAGAAGCTACTGCAGTTGCAGAACTTCAACACGCTGATGGCGGTGGTGGGCGGCCTCAGCAACAGCTCCATCTCTCGTCTCAAAGACACGCAGGCCCACATCAGCGCAGAGACCAACAAGGTGCAGTAGCGGCTACCGTCCTCTGAACCATCACTGCTCTATTTCTGGCATGCCAGACAAATTGTTCACAGCGTGTTGATTCACTTAGCTAACAAGTGATGTCGAATCCTGATTCAGTAAACCACATCTCCTCTGTGTGAGCTGCCAAGCTCCTTATGTGTGCCCATTACTCCTACACAGCGGCTTTTCAGAACTATGAATTTGAGCCACACTAACTGGAAAGTTGAATGCAACATTTGGGGGAGTTACAGTGTCTTGTCAGTTACGTAAGTCCATCTGGAGCAAAGTTTTCCAGAATGTTTTTGACTCTTCTAAACTAATCTCTCTTGAGACAGGCTTTCTGTTTATCCAATATTGCCTTCTAAATTAATTTCATCCCCCTGCATTCACTCAACCTGCAGGTCTTTAACAATCTCATCGAACTGGTGACATCATGTGGGAACTACAGTCAATACCGCAAGCGTTTCTCCGAGTGCTCAGGCTTTCGATTCCCTATCCTCGGCGTGCACCTGAAAGACCTTATAGCCGTGCACGTGGCGCTGCCAGACTGGGCAGACAAAGAGAAAACGCGGGTTAACCTGACTAAGACCCAACAGCTGTACACCATCCTTCAAGAGCTGGCGCAGATCCAGACCACCCCGCCTAGCATCGATGCCAACACAGACTTGCTGAACCTGCTTACGGTGAGTGCAAAGGCTGGACAGGTGTATGTGCAGTGTCCAAGATGAATGTTTCTCTTGAATCAGAGATATGCCAAAACAAGCAAAGAACAGTTTGTACTGAGGTCCTGAATCAGGTGTTGTACATCATGAAGTGCAACAGAATCCATGAGCACTCATGAACCACCCAGACAGCAGTGAAGTAGGAGGAAGAATGTGATGCACAGACTTTGTTCTGCTGTGATTTCATTGGCTCGTGGTCAGACAGACTGTACAGGAGCCAGCTGGGACAAAATCTGCATACAGACAAAGGCCAGAGATTATGTGTAACCAAAGCATTCAAAGCATGCACCAGCTCAAGTCTTAAATAGCTGTAGTCCTGTGCAGTCACAACATCTAGTGTAACACCCTTTGAGAAATAAATAATTTATGACTGCTGGACACGCAAGATATCATAGATAGTGGGAGAAATAATTTAATGGCTTATTTCATTTAACTAGTTATAAAAGGTCAAAAGAGGAAAGATGTTTGCTCAGATAGTAATTCATAATAATCAGTCAATGTGCCATTATGAACACTTTATAATCCGGTTGGCCAACTTGGTCAAAATTATGTTGGTATGTGATACTATATTGCTCAGCTAAGATTAATTCAAAGAATTCAGAAAAAGTCCCCTATTTGTAAGCACATGTAAAAGGGATACTCTACAGCATCTTCCACCTTCCGGTTTGTAATGCAGGATTTTTGTAAAAAAACATTTTAAGCCAAGCTAACCCTGATGACATCATCAGGATTTTGTTTTAAACTTTGGCAAGCTCTTCCAGAGCCACAGAAATCATTATACAACTCATTTTACTGGTGGTGTACTGGTGGTGTGTAAGTTGACTAAACAACATGAGTAATATTGGTGGAGTGCCTCTTTATTTAAAAGAAGGGAGGACTAAACAATGTATTTACCTCTGTTTCTTTGGCAAACTGCTTTTACACGGTTATCTGGTTGCTAAATTCCGTTTAAGAGTCATGCTTTTATCCAGAATAAAAACCAGGACCCTGTTCAAGTATCTCATCACTGAACTTCACTGAACTTTAAAATGTTAACCTGCAGTGAAACCTGTTTGTTCCTGTATCCTGATTAAATACTGAAGGGATTTTGCTGACAGAGTACTTTGGCTTTGAAATTTCCTGAAAGAGGAACTCAGTAGAATCAGTATCTTCTTTTTAAAGTCTTTACTGACAAAACATTGCTCTCTCACTCTCCACCAACAGGAATTTGGTGTTAAATAATCTGGAGATTATGTGGCAGAATCACAGGATGGTTCTTCATCTTACATTTAATGCGAGCTCTTTAACTGGGAATACTGTGTGAGACTGATCTCAGTTTTGTTGCTGCCTGCACTTCAGCATGAAAGCTGAGGTGGTGTTTTAGCACTTCACACTAAACTCACGAGTTATGAGCATGCATTAGTATTTTTGGCAGATGCAGATAAGAGTTTCCTGGATTCGAGAACGGGAGCTTTCTGAATTTAAAAATCCCCAAGAGATTTAATCACTCAATCCGGCTGCAGGTGTTCGTGTGAGATTGCAGCTGGCTCCCCCCTTTTTTCTGTGAAAATGAAAGAAAATACCTTGGCAGGTTTTGGAGCTGAGAGGAACCAGGGAAGTTTGCTGGACATAGTCAATAACCAATTACCTTATGTCATGCCAGTGCTTATTCAAGTTGATCTACCTTGAGTTCTCCTTGGCTCACAGAGAGGAGATGGAAAGGAAGTCAATAAGTCCGTCAAAATAATGAAGATAATCAAACCACACAAGCTTAAAATACCATTTGTCTCTTTTTTGAGTCACATTCATCGGCCTTTCAAATGAAGTAGATTGTATTATATTATACCATCTCCAATGTGGTGAAATATTTACAGTAAACCTTTTGAACCTTAAAATACTGTAAGCTCAGCTAAATCAGAAGAAAGAAATGCAGCCAAGAACAAAAGCTTTTTTTCCCCTTCCGCACTCACCACTACCTCAACTCAATAAAACCCAGGAAACAAAGTTACAGTAAGAGACTAGCTGTGATGAAAATTGTGTGAGGCCAACAGCGGATGCAGTGGACGATTACTGTACATGTAGCAGTTGGCTGTGAGATGGTAATTGGAGCAAAACATAGGTGTTACCTGTTGTCAGTAGTATGTTTTCCACACGACTTTAGGGTTAAATAGTAGCGATGCACAATATTGAAATATTTGCCGATAGCATCTAATAGACATTTTTTATGGTAATTTATTCTGAAATGTATATTCTTCATTTTACTGCAATACCAGCTTCTGTGCAAGTTCCACTATTTGGGTTTAGTGCTGTGCAGTTTTAATGCCTGATGCAGACGCTGACCTATAAAACACTTCCAAATCGGAATAAACATATTATCTTACTAACGTCTTGTGGTATCTGGCCATGAAGATAGTTTTATTTTCCAAGGTTTAGAGATATATCTGTCTCTGAAATGTCTGCTGCCACTCGCAGTGGTGGATGAAGTACTAATACCACAGTGTAAAAATAGTTGGTTACAAGTAAAAGTATATGGGATGATTTTCCTATCCTTATTCAAGAGTGTGGTCTTTCAATTGGAGAGCATGACTTATTGATTTCACGCTCAGATTTTGTAATGCTTTCCCTGAAAACCCTGCAACGCACTTGCAATGACGCAGGGATCATTTCATTGGTCAACACCACATGTGGTATTCTATTGGTTGGGGGATTTTGAGAGGGTTATTGCACTGAAAGTCAGAGAGCAGAGCAGAAAATCTGAGAGCAAAGTTCTCACGAGCACACAGAAGAAGCCATAGGACGAGAAGAAAGTTGAAGATGGAGCGCAGGAAATCTGTGCAGGCAACAATTCAGCGATAACAGCAAATCGAAGAGTGCGCAGGGACTATTTAAGTGTGAGGGCAGAGTTTTGAGGGAAAGCATTACAAAATCTGAATGTGAAATTAATAAGTCATGCCCTCAAACTGAAAGACCACCCTCTTGAATACAGTCGTATTCAAGAGGGTGGTCAAAATATTACTGTCCCCTTCAGTTATTTGACTGCTGATCCAAACACCCAATTATTTGTAAATGAAAATCATGGAAATTATAAGGGGTGCCTAAACTTTTGCATACGACTGTAAAGATGGGAAAATAATCCCATAAGAGTACTGCATTGAAAAAGCTACTTAGGTGAAAGTATCAGTATAATCAGGAAAATGTCCCCTGTGACTGTTAAAATACAATTTTATATCTTTTTATGACTCATGCGTTTAGGTAAAACCACGATTTTCCTGCTGTAGTTGTTGAGCTGGAGCTCTTTTTGACTTAGTTTGTAACAGACTGCAACTAATGATTATTTTCATTAATCTGCTGATTATTTTCTCCATTAATCAATTGATTGAATACTGAAAATAGTGAGAAATGCCATCACAGTTATCCAGAGCCCAAAGTGACACCTTCACAATGCTTGTTTTGTTAAACCAACTGTCCAAACCTCAACATTATTAACAATACATTGAAAGCAGTGCGCCTTCACATTTGTGAAGTTGGACGATTTTACATGAAAAATGAAATGAGTTTATGATCAAATAGTTGCCAATGAATTTTCTGTCCATCAACTAATCATTTCAGTTGTAATGGTATAAACTGCTTGCATGTCTTCATATGGTTTGTATGTAAAAATATTAATTCGTAAAGTAACTAGCGACTAAAGCTGTCGGATAATGTAGTGACGTAAAAAGTACAACATTTCCCTCTGAGATGCAGTGGAGTAAGCAGCATGAAAAGAAAATACTCAAAATAAGTACAAGTAGGCTACCTCAAATTTGACTTACATTTGTGGTGCTCACAGCATTAAAACGTTACACTTACAACTCAGTCAGTGTTGAGTGAGTAAACTGCAGAGAAACAAATGAATAGTCGCCAGCTGTTTCAGTGAAGGTACACAACTGCCTTATTTGGTCACTTTTTGTCTATTTCACTAATATTTGCAGTTGGACTACGCCTCTAAAAGGCTGCTTTTGGCTGAAATCTGTGCAGGGATGTATTTATTTTGTGGTGGAGATGAATGCTAGGAATGAAGAGGCTGCCTAAATCCTGTTGAAAGTTTCTACAGCAGTCCCACACTGAACACACTGTTCATGGATACTATAAAATACTAATTGCAGTATTTGAGTTCACTCATGATGTTTGAGTATACATAAGAAAGCAATCTAAGGTTAAAGGTCCCCTTACAAGCTTTTAGAGCTTTCAACCACATCGTACGGTCTTCACTATTCTATGAACTAGTGATGGTGTTCATATATGGAGGGGAGACTGCAGCCCCTGTCTTGTTCAAGGATTTAGGAGTAACGTCACACCCCCTGAACATATTGCTTTTGGTGCTACAATGATTTAGTTACACCGCGATTTCACTGTTGGGTATGATTACAGGTGCAACAGAGCACCCACCCACCATACCCAGCAAGCTTTAAACCTTCCCCAAGACATCACTGAGACTATTTAGATAGTGTCACTGACAAAGTAGAACTAAAAACATCTTTTGACATGTTGGCTGCATTTTGTTGTGTCAGTACTTGTACTCTGTGCAATGACAATAAAGTTGAATCTAATCTTATTTTATCTAATCTAATCTAATATGCAGTACAACCAGTCCATATATGCATTTTCATTAGGTAAATTAAAGGAAAAGACCAATAGCAATGAGCCATCCTGTCATTTACAGACAAAATGGTCACACTGGCTCCTTATCTCCTGTTCTGTGCAGGTGTCTCTGGACCAGTACCACACAGAGGAGGAGATCTACCAGATGTCCCTGCAGAGAGAACCTCGCAAGCCAGCTGTGAGCAGCAAGCTGTACACTTTGGGTCCTGAACTGGCCTGTTCTCAAATATCCCATATTTGGCAGTGATATACCTCATTTACTCCTGCCTTGAGATGATGGATGGTCCTGATTTCACTGCACCTTTTGAGAGGGGCTTTATGAAGCTGCTAGCTGTAGGCTGTCTGGATTTCAGAAGGTTTTTCTGTCCCATGATGACCTATATAATGTTTCAGAAACTGCCCCATCCTTAAAGTATTGAATTATGTGGGAAACAATGAATCCTCGACATTGTATGTTTGTATGTTAAAGATGTTAAAGATATTTCAATATCAGATTTCAGCCCTCCAAAACCCGTATTTGCCATATCCTGTTATAGATGCTCTTACGACGCTATTGACTGCCACAAACTGACATCAGAAATCTTTGTTTTCCTTCTATCGTGACATTTTGATCCACCGTAGTAACCCTTGACTGCTGCTCTGTACAGCAGTTGTCTTTTGTTTTATTTTCTTTTGTTTTCCCTTTTAAAAAAAAAAAAGATGTTTGCTTCTGCTTCCCTAGGGTTGATATTGATGTCATGGTCTTTTTTTTTTTTCACATCGTTTGTAGCAGAACTCCAGCCCCTCCCCAACGCCTGACCCCAAGCCGACCATGATCGATGACTGGGCGGTGTCGGTGAAACCCAGCGCTGACCCGACGATCATCAAGAAACACATAGAGAAGATGGTGGAGGTGAGTTTCTCAGCCCCCCCCCCTTTTCTACATTTGGTACAGCAAATGCATCCAAAAAATCAGAATCAGAAACAGGTGTATTGCCATGTAGTTTTCACATAGAATGATTTTTCCTTGATGTTGTGGTGCATAACAGTCAAAATATAGAAAGTAACACAAAGAATAAACAAGTGGTGCAAAGTCAAGCAGTCATAAATATAAAATCTAGTTTTACATTAAAATGTGTAACATATACATTATTTTCATGTGAAAAGAGCTGTACAGTGTTTAAAATGGAGAGAGTAGAATGTGCAAACATATTTAGAGCAATTCAAGTGGATCCCCATAAAGAGAAAGTTTGTAACTTTTGAAAGAAGAATGAGAAGATTGACTTCCTAATAAATGATCTTGCTCATTTCAATACACTCAGGGGTCTTGCTGCCAGAAGCTTATGGTGGCTGATGTTAGCTAAATTGCCTGTGTAACTGACATTACTGAGTCAATTCATAGACTTTATGAATCTTCTCTACTCACAGATAAACATTTCTAAAGTCGTAGTTGTTGTTTCCTAGTTGTGGTCCAGTTCCTCTTACTCTCAGTCAGGCCATGTAATGATGTTTTAAAGTGAGTAAACCGAGTAAATCAAATAATCTCTCAAGGCATTCCAATCACTGAAGTTAAATGAAAGTCAACACTAAATATTCACACTGACTACCCTCCACATCCCTCATGTTCACAGTCGGTCTTCAAGAACTTCGATACCGACGGTGATGGCCACATCTCCAGGGATGAATTTGAAGCAATCAGGAACAACTTTCCTTACCTCAGCAAGTTTGGAGAACTGGACAAAAACCAGTGAGCATTTGCAGATTTATTCACTGACCGAACCAGTTTACTAAACTGACCTAATCTGTGTCGTTTGGAGCTCACGTTTTTTTTGCTTCCTCAAACAGAGATGGGAAGATCAGCAGAGATGAGATGATAGACTACTTTATGAAAGCCAGCTCCCTGCTTAACTGCAAGATGGGTTTCATCCACACTTTTACTGAGGCCACCTACGTCAAACCCACATTCTGCGAGCACTGCGCCGGCTTTGTAAGTAAACACCTACCACTCAAGTATGAACACAAATCATGTTTTGAGTTTGTGTATTACCTCACTTGATCCTAAAATTACACAAAATAGTGTATGTGCAATACTTTTAAAGATTGTTTTTAAAACACAATGAGCTGTATGATTTTTAAACCTTTCAGGCTCCCGTGAAGGTCTTAAACAAATATTGATCTTCTTTCTTCACCGCTCTAATCGATGGCATGTGTCATGGTTTGTTAAACAAGGTCAAATGTCAGTTGTGTTTACGCCGCTGCTCCATAGACATGTAGCTTTATAGACTATCTATACTTCATTATTTGTCTCGGCAGTCACCAGCAGCACGTGATAGCCCCATCTCTCAGAGGTTCCTCCTGTCAGGTCAGGGCAATGCCAATTACTTTGAGCTACAGCCAGCTGAAGTTGCACTCTGGGAAATATGGGAGGAAGGTAATTGGGCGAGATGATAGCCCTCCTCTTTGGTTACATTGTGTGCGTGTGTGTGTCCTCTGTTTATTTAGACATAGTGAGTCAGCACTCATCTGTAATGAGAACTGGAATAGGGCCCTGATATTGAACTGCATGCAGTGAGATGACCTCCCATTCATTTCTGTCTAATGCATATAAAGAGAAGCTAGAGAGGGACGTTAATGCCCAAAAGAGAAGTATGTCATAGATTATATGTATGACTTTCATTAACACTCAAACGAGCACACAAACACACATTCTCCAGAGGAAGCTCTGACATTTTCAAACCATCATGAGGGGAAACTCAGAATAGGAAAGATAAGGACTCTGGCAGCGTGCTTCTTCCTTAGAATATGTGTGTGTGTCAGAGGTAAATACATTCCCCTCTTCCTCTTCTGCCTGCTTTGTGCTTTCCTCTTGGCTCCTCTACAGAAGCAATATTTTCCCACAGCCCATTTTTCAGCACTTGTCTCAAACACGCTGTGCAAGGAAAGCCTGCTGTAAACACTGCAGAGTTCACTCACCTCCACTGTCTCACATGGATCTTCATAATCTTGTGCTGTTTTGCCTGCGGCCACCTTTAGCCTTACATACAAATTAATATCCCACAGATGACTTTTACTAAATGCACAAAGTAAGTAGACTCATCACTGAGTATGTCTGCATCTCAGGAGAGCACAGCAAGTCTTTAGCTGGAGGCTCAGAGAAACCTTTATAACAAACTTTTATATGAGAGATTGCAGAGGGTGATGCACCAGTCTGTTCTGTTATGGTTTTGGTGTTTTGCATTTCCTGTTTTAGTTTGTTGAGTCATCCCCACGTGTCTTTGTGTACTTCACGTCTCTGTGTTTTTCACTGTTCTCTCTATTATGTTTTTCCTTGTATCATTTATTATTTTACTCCCCTTCCTTTCTTGTTTTGTTGTATTTAACTTCCTTCCATCTTTCTAGTGATTCGTTCTCTGTATTTGGTTAGGTTGATCGTTACTTTCCTCGCCTCTCACCTGTGTGATGGTTTGCTCCTCCCCGAAAAGTTTTACCTGTCCATTCTCACCTGTCCATTTTTGGACCATCCTCTGGTGTTTTTGACTCTTGCCTGCCTCATCTCAGTGCAAGCTGCTTTACCTGCTCCCTGCTAGATGTAACATGACAGAACGAACACACCAAGTTATGGATCCAGTGGACAATCAATCAGTTGTTTACTGGAGGAACTTATAGAGGTGAGAGATTGCAGACAAGGTCATTAAAAAATGCACACTATTGTATTTCCTGATGGAGAGAAATATTTTGGCAAAACCTGGACTTTTGGATTTTCATAGCTAAGCATTTAGCAGTCCTTGCTGAACTCAAAAGTGATTGTCTGGATACATCCTAGAACGCTGCGATACATCTTGGGGTTGTGAATCTACAGCAATCTTGTCCTTAGTTGTCCCCTTAGTAGTCCCCATGGACAGCTAACCTTCTGCCAGTTCCTGCCCCTGAGTCAGTCCCCGTTCCTAACTTGGTTAGAGACTCCTGGTCTTTTTTGTGTTTTACATCACCTAGCCAGAGAGCACCCATACTGCTATCTTCCAGCCAGAGAGCCTGTCACCTAGTCCTGTACATCCTGGTTCCAGCCAGATCTTGTCCTGGAGCCACCTTAAGAGAAACCCTCAGGATGGAAGCCCAGCTCCACAGAGACTGAGCTGATGTGGCATCAGAGACATTTTGTTGACCAGTTCCACAGTGATTCATGCATCTAGCTATCTCTCTGAGACTCAGGTGATCAGCAATCCAGAGACTTTGTTGTCCAGCTTCCCATAGAATGACCTGTCCAGCTCCACTGACATTCAGCTGGCTAGCACCCCACAGACTGTTATTTGGTACCACAGAGGTACCACCGGTCCTGCCTGGTTCTCCAGCAGTGGCCCAGCTGACACCAGCTCCTGGTTCCCCATTGGTGGCCCAGTCTACACCTGCTGAGCTACAGCAACTTCAATTTAATTAAATGTTATATACAGAGCACCAATTAAAACAAATGTTATCTCACTGCACTTTTCATATAGAGTAGGTCTAGACGCTACTCTTACTCACCTGTGATATTATTAACAGAGACCCAACAATTACAACCATGAGCAAGCAACACAGGCAGGAAAAAAACTCACTTTTAGGAGGTAGAAACCTTGAACAGAACCGTGACTTTCTGACTTTACTGAGCTGCAGCAACAAAGGTGGAACCGTCTTTGCTGCGAGCCTACGCGGGCTTATGCCCTCGCTGGGTTTCCACCTTTGCCTCCAGCCTCCAGAGGATTTCCTCCGCCGCCGCCAGCCTCCAGAGGACTGGGACTCTTGTCGCCTGCCCGATTCTCTTGCTTTCTGGATACTTGCCCCTGAATGTTTTTCCTTGTGTTATTTATTCATTCATTCCCCTTCCTCTCATATTTTGGTGTATTTAACTTCCTGTCTTTGTGGTTATTCGTTCTCTGTATTTGATTAGGTTTTTCCTTTGTTTCCTGTTTTACTTTGTTGCTTTTCTTTCCTTTTGTCACTTCACCTCCTGCAGGTGTGAGTGTTTCCTCCTCCCTGATTAGTTTTTACCTGTCCCACCTGTCCCCACCATTCTTGGGTATTTAAGTCTGTGTATTCCCTTTGTCTAGTGTTGTTTTGTCGCTGTGTCTTGCCAAGCGTCTCCCTCTCTCTGATGTACTTGATTGTGTATTCACTTTATATTTCTGGTATTTGGATGTTTAATGTGCCTTTTGGATCTGTTTCCCATGAGTTTGGACTGTCTTTTGGTGTTTTTGACTCTTGCCTGCCTTATCTCGGCATAAGCCTCATCTCAGAGTGAATCCCTGCTTTACTTGCTCCCTGCTTGACGTAACACGACATCTCTGGGCTTTTGACAGTTCAGCTTCATAGAATCAAAACAAGAACAGCAAGAATCAGTCATCACAAACCTCTTGTTTTGTCTTTTACTGTGTTCACTATCATACACTTCACACACTACAATGTGATAGTGTTTGAAAAATGTTCTTACTGGGTTCTTTCTAAGCATTTTGTCCTATAATAAAGCAACACAATAAGGCACATTTATTGTTCTTATAGTTTTTTCTATGTGTTTGCACGTTGCAGAGGTTAACAGAATAGATAATGGAACACACTTGCTTTCTTGCTGAGATTTAGATGAGAAGATTGATAAAACTCTCATATCTGCTAATTAGATGAAGCTACAGTCAGACCATTACCTTAGCATAAAGACTGGGGGGAGACAGCAAGCCTGGAATTGCCTACCTGCACCTCTAAAGGTAACTAATTAACACGTTATATCTTGTACAAACCCTAAAAGTAGAAACGAGAACCTGTAGTTTTACCGGAGGTTATGGAGTATGTCTTGGCCAGGTGAAGTCTCTGCTGGTTGCTCAGCAACCTCATGCTGAGGACAAGACTCGAAAAGATATAATATGTTAATTAGTGAGATGTGTGCGGGTGGGTATATTTAATTGATCTTTGTTCAGAACCAGGCTAGTTGTCTCCCCCCTTTTCCAGACGATAAACATTATTTTTTTTAACTTATATTTACTTAGAAATCATTACACTAACAGGCCTGAAAGAAGGCACAAAAACACAAGTAATTATGATCACCCATGAATGCCATAAAAGAAAAGATATGCTCTCTCAATGAAAGAAACTATGCACATTTAGTTTTTTCCAGTACCGTTAATGGTTGATATGTCAAAGTGTCCTGAGAAATCTACCAAACCCTTCCTGTTCACTCATTTTACATCACTATACAAAAGGGTGGTAGCTGACTGTCAAAAATGTCCATGTGGATTTAGCAAATCTGTGTGTAATAAAAGCATTGCCTGCTTATCTGCCTGAACGTGCCGTAGTATTTAAGAAAGCAGAAACAGAATGAGGTGATTGTCAACACAGTCTGGTAGGTAAAGATAGAAGGCATTTGGTTTGGAAACACTTTTTGTATCTTGAACAGCAACAGATACAATATTTATTGAAGATTGACTTCCAACACAATTTAAAAAGAATTTTCTTTCACACATGAATGTACCTACAGTAATGAAACTATAATTAAACACATTCTGCTTGGAAGTATAATTTAATTTTTAATGCATTAATAGTGCCTGATGTTTTAGCTCAAGTTTAATGCTGTCACACACAATATGCAGATATAAAAGCTGGTATTCAAATAAGGTTGACATCGGTGAACATAAACATGAACATCTCACAGAGTGTATCTTTAATATTAAATGTTTAAATCAAATGTAAAATAGCACATTTCCATTTCAATAAAATTCATAATAACAATAATAAAAAGCTTCCAGTAAATAATCAAAGAAATGGAGCAAGTCATTGTGTTTGCAACTATTGTTTGTAGTGCATTGTGTTTTTCAGTCTACTGAGGCAGTAAAGGTCAGTCAGTGTAGGCAGAGCTGTGATGATAGTTGTGTTTAGATGTTCTGCTCGTACCTGACTTCTCTTTGTTGTAGAGCCTCTGGCTGTGCGCACGCTTTCCCACTTTGTGTGTGTATGTGTGTGTGTGTGTCTTTGTGTATATATGTGCATCTACAAGTGTATGCGTTTGCATGCTTGCATGTAGGTTTGTGTGTGTGTGTGTGTGTGTCAGTGTGTGTGTGCGAAGAGGTCAGGATATTTTGTGCCTCCTCAGATGTGCCAGTGCAGTGTGTGATCTCCAGCTCGGCTCTTTCATGTCATTGTTCCCCCTACTGTCTGTGCACTCCCTGCGTCCCGCTTGATCTCGGGCCCCCCTCCACCCCCCTCTGTCCCACCAACCTCCTCTCTCTCCCCCTTTCTTTCCCTCTCTCTCTCTCTCTCACCCTACATCTTTCTCTGTTCTATTGTGCCCCTTTCTTCATTCGCTTTTTTCCAGCCTTCACTCTGTACCTCAGCATCAATGGGGGATATCATGATGTGAACTATGGGGGCGTTTTAACATGTTTTAGCCCATTAAGTGCTAACTGTGTATACTTTACTGCTAACCATTTTCCAAAGCACAAGTTTTTAGATTAATAACGTACCTCTCAGGCAGATATTGGTTTCCATTCTTTTTGAAACATACTTGATATAACTAATACATAAGTCAGTGTTGTTTGGTATTACACTTGTGAAGTGTTGCATTGTGTAGCTGACAAAAAAAGGGCCATGTAGGTTGTAAAAAGTTCCGTCTGAGCAGTGAAGACTGGAATTGGAAGGACCCTGAACATACAACTTTCAAAACAGTCCCAGTTCACCACATTACACTGCATATTAGCTTTCACTAATTAATCATTCATTAATACATTTTATGGCATTCTTAATAGTTGGCAATTATGTAGGAAATGTCTGTTAACTACAGGGAAGTAGTTAACAGACTTAACCATGAAAACCACTATAGTCCTTGAAGCTAGTGTGTCAGAACTTTAACATGCCGGTTGTGTTGCATTTACATTACTAAATGGCGTGCAAATGTTAGTTAGAATGTTAGTTGTCATCAGTATAGAAAATTGTCGTGTCACAGAGAGCAGCTGGGTACAAAATTTAACAAATGAAAGAGACAAAGGTGGCTAAGTACTCTAATATAGGAATGACTTGCCGTACATGTTTTTGGTGGTTCTTACTTGTCTACAAGGAAGGTAAAAGAATAAAAATACCAGTGCAAAAGTATTGTACCATATAACTATCACCATGACAAAAACAATATTTGCCCAGTTTGTCATTTTGAGAACGAGAACAAGATCCCTACAACAAGATATTTTTGATACTGTAGTTGCATGTTTTTCCTTTTATGAGAATATACAAATTGTTCCATTTGAACAGGAAACATCTTGTTATAACAACATATCACCACATCCTGTCATATCATGAATGATTTTTTGTTTTCTTATACAATACATATCAGTAAATAATATTAAAAAAAGAATGACCCTCATTATAATGACAATTATTATTAAACCAGAGTATTGCAATAATGTCTTTGTTTCTAGAAAGACGTATTCTGAAACACCAAATATGGCTATTCCATATAATATAAAAGTCTGAACCTTGCGATAAGTTGAGATCCGTACCTATAAAATTCCACTTAATGCAGTGGTTCTCTGAGGGGCTAATTATATTATATTGATATTGGTGGATCTGTCAAAATCTTGCACACTCTTTTGATGATTCAGATGAATATAAATTGGAACAAAATGTTTGAAGGATTTTATTAATCTGGATCGGATCCATTGTCATATCATGAAGTGCAGATTTAACCAGGGATGTAAGCTGATGAGCTAAAAGTCGCCATGTTCAGATATTACACAGCGAGACTGGAGAAGCGTATATATTCCAGGTGAGGGGGGTGGTGGCATATTGATGATCAATTTGGTCAAAAGCCCTTATTACGAGAAACGTATAACAGGCAACCAAAAGGAAAGATCACTTTATGATCTGAAAGCTTTGTTATATATATTTAATTCATATTACTCAGTTATTCAAGTTTCCATACCTTATGACTGTGTTAAAACATAACAGATTTTAAATAACCTTACAAAACATGCGTACAACTACAAAATATTTAGATTTTTGAAAGTGCAGTTGCTAAAGATGTAATCATTGTATTGACAAAAGTCTTTGTTCATTAAAAAACCTGTCAGCTTAAACCTCCCTGTAATTGCTGTGTGGTCATAGAAATAAAAAACATACTAATTAATTTGCCCAAACCCTGCGTATCTCTTTATTTCTCTCTGGCTTTGCAGATATGGGGCTTCTACAAGCAAGGCTACAAGTGTAAAGGTAAGAGAGCAATTCATTTTGACTCTATGTCTGCTGCTCAGATCTGTGTGTACCCCAGAAGGGTAAAGCCTTTAAAGAATTAGCTATTCTTTTTGATGCCTATCTTGATCGATTCCCAGCTTTCACACACACACACACACACACACACACACACACACACACCCTCTGTAGATAAACATCCACAGAGTTGAAGTGCTGAGTAAATGTCATCAACACAGAAACCATTGCAAATATATCACACTCTTTTAATGGATGTCCACGCACAAAGCTCTGCTCACGAACAGCCGGATAAGCTCCCACATTACACACAATGCACAATTGTTTGCCATTTTAAGGGTCTTGGTAGACCAGTGTTTGAAGAAGCTGGTTCATTTCACAAATGTACATACACACGAGCACCTGTCCTCTCATCCTCATGGACATTATCTTCAAAAACACACACCCGGCCTGCTTCTTTTCCCTCTTTGCGTGTGCCGCTGGTGGTCTGTGCTGATGCTAAAAATTAAGTAGTGATAATCTGCAGACATTCAGTGCACTAAATAATTTACACTACATATGTTTACGTCCAGATGTCAGGATGAAACTCTGGAAATGATGCCAAATCTAAAATGCAAATCATGCAAGGTTCCATCTGCTGGAGTCTTCTGAGAACTGATTGATGATTGAACAGCTGAGCCTTATGAATGGGTTAGAGTACTTAGAGTGGGCAGGTATATCACAGACAAGGATTTCATTGCTTTTTTAATTGCCCAACAAATTAGATTCCATTGCTGTTTACAACACAAGGCTGTCTGCGTGTGTGCCCCTGAACATTTTGTTCACTTATTTTCTTGCACAAGCAGTGGTTTATCATTTTTTTGGAGTAAGTTAAGTATTATGTCAGCGCAATAATAACCTGATTAACTGTATCTGCATGCGTGTATAAAGAGTCCTTGTGTGTCAGAGGATTTAATGGATTCACTTGTCCCTCGTTCTTTTCTTAACAACTATCTTTTGTTCATTCTTGTTCTCAACATTGAATGCTACCTCATTCATTCAGGTTCATCTCAGGATGGCTAACTAATGGTTATTAAATAGCTTGCAAGTTATCATCAAACATTTGAGTTGCATAGCAACTAGAGTAATTAATGCTCCTTGGGGCCTTTGAGGTCTTGTGGTCTGTTGCGAGCAGTGTTCACAGCCCCCTCACCCTGTGTTTAGGAGAAGAATCACCAAAACGTGTTCGACTTTAATAGTGTGTAACAACAATGGTGATTGTCTCTCTTCAATTCTCTTTAATTTTGGTTTCTCTGGTGCTTGGAAGGTAACACAGTCACCTGCTGATGACACAAAATGAGTCAAAACCATCAAGGGGGGTGAAAAGAGAGCAAACACAACACACTGGACATACATAAAAATCCCACTCATACCCCCAACTACACTCTCCCATCTCCTCTCCTCTCTGGAGGAGTGTATGTCGCAGAGACAGACGGGGAGGGTGTGAGTGTATTGGCTTGTTCTAGTGCATTAATGAGACCAGAGGAAGTCAATGAGAGAGCCCCACAGCCATTCGTCCCCATTACCATTGTTAGCCCATACTCAGGGAGGTAGAGAGAACGGCAGGGACATAATTGAAATGAATCGCCCTCCGCAGTGCAGGAGCGGAGTGTGTTTATGTGTTTGCTCTCAGGGTTTTCTGCCAGGAAGTCTTTCTGCTTGGTCAGGCTTAGGCACCGAAACTTCTCCCATGTGTGCCTCTGGGTGGGTGGCAGCCAAGGTAATAGTCACACAGCAAAGTCAGAGCAACAAACAAAGAGAAAAAAAGTACAGTGAAACTAAACAGTTAAAAGCATTTTTTAATAACATTTAATTACCTCTACTTCAGCCGTTCACATTAGACAGCTCGTTATGAATGAAGTTAGGCACTTGACCAAAGGGGAAGAGCGTAATACACTTGCTGATTTTTTTTAAGCTGGCCTATTATTCTATCAAGAGGTAGTGAAGACATGGAATTTTAATGTGCAAAACAGCCTTGGTGAAAGCGTTAAAACGTAAATATTGGGGAGCATCTTGAGCATTCATTTTGTTCACTGTGACAGCCGTGTGTGTGAGAGTGTGTGTGTGTCTGTGTTGAGGTTCTTTCGACTCTCACATGTTTTGGTGATGCCTTGTTCGACGACCCATCGCTCCTCTCCTCTTAGACTCCCCCTGGTTCACAGAGTTGCTGCCGGGCACAGTCGGCCTCACTAGGTGTGTGTGCCAGTGTTCGTGCGTCTGCATGGAATGTAGAAGCTCTTTCCTGTCATCAATAGCTCTATCGTCTGCCCCGATGTTTCTGTTTGCGCCCGTCCCTCTGTCTGACCCTCTCCCTCTCTCTTCCCCTCGCTCCCTGCCTTCCCCTCTCTTCTCCCCATCTTGCTTCCTCTCTCGGCGACTCTCCCTCCCTCTCCTCCGACGTCCCCGTCCTCTTCTCCTCTCCCGTCGCCTCTCATTCCCGCCTTCCTTCTCCCTCCACGTGAACTCTCCGGCGGCAGCCTGCGGGGTGAACTGCCACAAGGCCTGCCGAAGCCGCCTGGCTGTTGAGTGCCGGAAGAGGACCAAAAGCATCAGCCACGAGACGCCGCCGGCTCTCCAGGCCAGATCTTACAGCTTCCCTCCACCTGCCAACACCCCACCCAGCCTGCAGAACACAGGTGACTGGTGCTTGGTTGTTAAATCAAGAGTGTTTCCGTTAAAAAATGTGTTTTGCTTATTGTTATGTCCCGTGGGTGTTTGACTTTCACTGTGCAGAATGGTGTATGTGCAGACTTTGACACTGGAAGACTGTTTTTACAGTCATCAACATCTCACACTTAAACTTAAAGACTGATTAAATGTGTGAAGTTTCTCTCTTTTTCAAATGACATACATCCAACATGAAATTGTTTCAGTAGCTTTCTTGACTTTAAAAAACACCCTCCCAGTCCTAAAATGTGTAAAAACATTCGCAGACAATATAATTTTTCCCCCCAAAACAAGGTCTAATGCAGTCGTCCTCCCAGGAAGACTTACCACATGTTTCAGCACTTCATGTCAACACTGCACCATCTCCACTTTTTGAAGGGTGCTTTTGTCTTCCTCCAGGCATATGGAGCACTGACATTTGGAAGATATTCTCAAACAATAGAATGTAATTTGCAATGGAAATGTGATTGGCCCAGCACAGCAGGGCCAGCAAATCACAGATACATCAGACATTTGAGAAATTGATGCCCTGCCTGGCTCAGTTTATGTCAGCGTGAACCTGCCTGATCAGTGAGCGAGACGGTGATGCAAGGCAAATGGATTGGCATGGCAAACAGATGAAGGCAACTGCTTATGAAAGGCTGTCTTTTTATTCCTCATGTCTTTACTCTCAACTTCTCTGTTTCTTTCAGTAATTGCTGAAGAGGATATAGAGACAGTGGAGGAAGGAGTGTTTGATGTCCACCTATAACCAGGTGAGAGAGATGTTCACTTTGGCTGATAAATAGAAATCCTCCTGTTGCATGAAACACTTAGATGTGGATTATACATTTTTATTATAGTTTCCTCCCTTAATTATAATCGTGATGCTGCATGACTTGTGTCTGTGATGCAGTCTCCTCTCTTAAAGCTACTGTTGCTGCTGTACACATCATTTTGCCAGACACATTACAGCACCAGGAGGGTCCACTCATACGATAGTGTGTATTGTATGCATTTATCAGAGAGTCAGCATTACATTAACCTTAAAGATGCATATCTTGAAGAGAGGCAACAAACAGATCAGTCGAGTTGTTGAGTGTCTGCCTTTTTGATTGTTGAGCGTTAAAGGAATAGATCAACATTTTGGGGAAAAGCCAGCGGCTGGTTTCCTTACCTGAGCATAAAAACTGGGAACTGGGGAGGGGACAGCCTGCCTGGCTCTTTCCAAAGGTAACAAAATCTGCCTACACGCACCTTTAAGCTCTTTAATAATTAACCTGCTATGTCTTGTTTGTTTGATATTTTTTTAATCTTTCATTTAATCATTAATGATATATACAGACACACATATATATATATATATTTATTTTATTTTAACCAAAGTGTAAAAATGTTGTGGGTTTACAGGTTGTTGTGATCAGGACTATTTCCTGTAAGTAATTAAGCATATAATTAGTGAGCCTTATAGGTGCTGCTAAGCAGATTTTGTTACCTTTGGACAGAGCCAGGTGAGTTGTTTCCTGTCTTCATGCTATGCTAGATCTATTCCTTTAAAACTGAACTATCCACATAAAGAGATCAATGAAGTATAGCTGCAAAGGAAATATGTTGTCATATCATCTACCAACTTTTTTGTCTTGTGACCCTTTAAAACACAGCAATGCCTCCTTGCAAATTAATATGAACCGTAGCAGTTCAATCAAAGAACAATTTTCTCTTCTCAGATTGTTTGATTTGAATACATTTTACTGGGCTGCAGAGGTAAAACTAATTATTTTATTTGACTAATTACAAGAAAAATAGCAGGGGAGAGGAATAATCAAACCTAATTTTGCCCAGGAGAAATGTCCTTCTTTTCCTGTCATCTGATTTGACCATGTGAGGTCCTGACCTCAATGTTGAGAAGCACTGATTTGCCGAGTTCAGTGGTGGATAAAGTATCCAGATCCTTTTCTTAAGTAAATACCTCACTGTAAAAATACTCTGTTACAAGTAAATGTACTGTATTGAAAATGTTACTTAAGTAACAGTATGTAAGTATAATCAGGAAAATGTACTTAAAAGTCTTAAAAGTAAAAGTAAAATAAAGAAAAATGTCCTGTGACTACCATTATATATTATATCATTGGATTATTATTACTCAGCTAGGATTTTATTGTCGTACTTGGTCGAGGTTGAAATATTATGTACCACATTGCAATATATAATTTTTTTTATTATGGATTAATCTGCTGATTATTTTCTCCATTAATCGATTGTAGAAATACTAAAAATACTGAGACATGTTGTCACAGTTACCAGAGCTCAAAGTGACACATTAACAATGATTGTTTTGTCAGTCCAAACCTCAGAATGATTACAAATACATATTTAAAATAATACTTAAAAGGAAGCGAACCATGAAAAATGACTTAAACGATCATCAAAATAGTTGCCAATTGTGATGTACTAGATGTACACTGTATAAACCTTTGGGAAGTTTAATTTATAACAAACTAAGTAAATGTTGACACATGCCTCCTCTATAAAATAATAATTGCCACCACAAGGCCTTTTATCATTTCAGCTGATATTATAATTAATTAGCAATTAAAATATTAATGCATATTCCCAAAAGAATTTATTCTTAGTCAGATTACACCAACTGAGAAACATTGAATGTGGAGCTTTCGGGTCCCATGGAGGTTTGAGGTCCCTGGGTTGTTTGCTCAGTTGGTGATTTAGCCACACAAGGGACACACCATTATACACTTTCACCACAGTGCTTATGTGTTTTCATGTGGATATTTTCCTTCCGCATGTAAACCTGTACTACTGGATGTATCGGTCAGTGTATACCAATCTTTGCAGAAGCCCTAACCTGAAGTGTAATTTTGATGAACAGGCCAGTGACAATCTCCAGCTCTCTGTTTTAGAATCCCTCCTCCGGTTGCCGTGCAAGAAGCCAAAACAGCTGACTGTCGGAATGTGCAACAGTATGTCAGTTTTACAGCCCTCAACACTGAGGAGAAATTGCACTGAACACAAGCCAGGATACCTACATGCTGCCACACAGCGGACACATAATGCAACAGCAACTCCACTCCAGCTAACTCACATGAATGTGATGACCAATGTGAATGGAAAGGCTTTGTATTATTTCTATGTAAAAATTCTGCATTTTGATTGTTGATGTCAGCCAAGAGTGTTACTTTAAAACTGATTATATATTAAAAAAAAATAAAAAATCCTCAAAATTGTATTTTCTTGTTGGAATGTTAAAGTCTGTGAATTTGAGCTGCAAATTGGAATGGCTGTCTACTTTTTCCTGTAAAACACAAAAGAGGTGCTGTTATTGCCAAGAATGTAAACCTGCCACCCAGACTAAGCCTAAGTCTTCTTGTTTTGAAATACATTTCAATGGACTAATAATAGGACCAATTTTGATGTCAGATAAAGTATTGTTAATGTTATGGTGCACATCTGAAGCACGATGACAAAAGTAACCATTTTGCCGACAAAAGAAGCAGCTGAAATGACTGTGTGGACAGTTATAATTAGGATGGACTTTTAACTATGTTATATTTTTGTCATGTTTACCTGAATATCAGTAACTGTCCTATAGCTATTGCTGTTGTGTTGTTTTCAGCTGTCAGCTAGATGATCAATTATCGTGCAGTACTGTGAATGTAGCAGAAACAGTGACATACCGCTGTCAGATGAAGAACTCATCTTTCCAAATAAATATGTTGACAGCAAGAGAGCGGGGAGGATGTCCCTCTGATTACTCTTCTCGGTTTTTAAACAAGCTTTGAAGTTAGTAAAAATGAAATAAGATAAAGAATAATACTAAACCTGTAATGAGTAATGAGGCTTTTCATTTGACAGCAGCGTATAAATATTATTTCCCTGAGAATCTGTTTTGATGCAAGTTGTGTTTTGCTGTTTTTATCCTGCATGCTTCTCCCTTCATGGCTCTATTCTTTGGCCAGATGTCTCTGTTGCAAAGGATTTTGTACTTTTTTTTAAAATTTTGCACGGCAAGTTATAATTTATTTAGGCAACATGAAGTCTTGAAATTCCAGACAGAGCAAATATTTCTGTTGCGTTGTGCCCGTAGAGAGATGAATTCAGACTTCGAGTGCCATATTGTTAACTGCTGGTTTGTCATTGAATGAGACTCCTCACATTGCTGGTATTTATTTTTATGTATAAATAGCTAAATAGCTGCCAGTCCTTTTGTGTCTCTCCCTGCCTGACGAAGGATGTTTGTTGTCATTCTGTGAATGAATCTTTCAGACAGATGTCATGTTACTCATTGTGGTCCCCAGACAACTCCCCAGTATTAAATGCAGCAGGCATCACTATAATATCTGTTCTGGTTGAGAATTTATGTGGCTAATAAGAATGATACTAAAAAAAAGCAAGGTTTTGTCTTGTCTTTCTTAAATGAGATTTCAATCGGTGGTCATGTTTTTACTTTTGACCTTCTGAATCAAACTTCAAACTATGCTCACAAAGATATTTCTCCACTTTCACTTGAGCAGAGGATATTTACTGCCAAGTATGTTAGTATTTTCATGTTTTAACTTGAGGAAATAATTTGTAAGAATTACTCTCTCTGAATTTGGAAATCTTAGATTATTGAAATCTTTTCAAAACATAACCTGAAAAATTCACATGTCCAGTAAAAGTCAAAGCTAGTTTTTTCTGTTCCTGAAAAGATTAAATTTTGGAGCCAAGGCTCGCTTCACAACAGTGACATTGTGATTGTTATACAGCCTGAATATGTCCCCGCATTAAAAGCACAATTCAAAATAGTTCAGTTCAGAATTAAACAAATGTCTAAGAAGTCCAACACTGATGCAGGTGTGAGATGATTTGTTTGACTCTACCTGCAATATTACTGAATGTTTTGCAGAATGTTTTCCCATATTTAATACAAAAGAGTTGAATAGCCCACGGCAAATTGTAAATTATTGATTCAACTGCTTTTTCCGTCATTTCCAAACTCTAGTCTTTCCAACTGAAGACACACAGCAGTTGCAACGCAACAAAATAACACCCTCTCCCTAAACAGACTCAGTCTAGATATTGAAATTGATTCTTTACTGCCACCACACACTTCTTCTATCCTTCATGTGACCAGGATCCAGTTTCCTCTGACTATTATAGTCATTAAAGCCAGCGCTGAATAGACCTTGCAGTCGATGCCACATCTAATTACTCTCAGAGATGATTTCAGTCTGGGCCACTGATTGTCTGGCCCCCACTATGTATGTTTGGTTCAATGGGAGGACATTGATCTGGCTATGTCCAGCGTTTGAGTTGGCTCATATCTCACCCAGTGCTGTGATACTGCTAAATGCTCTCATGTGGGACTGTATCAGCTAACAATGAGCTGATGAACTGCAGAGGTGATGTGTTCATAACTTGGCCTATTGACCTTGGTCACACATATAGATGATTCATTCATTAGCTGTAGCTGTCTATTCTACCAGCAAGAAAATACTAGGTCCATCAATTATACAGTAAGTAGATGGAGAAAATGTATAGCCGTTTTTGTGTCTTTGGGTTGATTGGCATGATGAGGAAGAAAAAATCCACAAGAGGAATGAAACATACAGGGAGTGTATGCAGACTCCACACAGAACGGATCAGGCCTAAAAGCAAACAAAGGATCATTTTTCTGTTAGATGACATGTTAGGCAATGTCCTTGCAAGCAATGAAATCACTTTTGTAATGTCCAGATTTATGTCTTTACCTCACAGTAGTCAACACAGGGTAGATAGAAAGGAGTGGGGGCCATGTTGTAAACCTGACACTCTGGCGCAATATCCTCTTGGAAAAGACACACTCTCTGCATCTCTCCACAGCCACTTTTCCTCCAAAGCCTATACGATTGCGCCTCGGTGTGTGTGGCCAATGGCTACTAGAGCATTGAACGTCTCTTTTAGCCCAGTGATTGATACCTCCCATTCAGCTACAGAAAAGCCGTCCCCAGCAGCACTGCCATTTAGCGGGCAGCCTGCATGATATTGATCTGAAACGTCTGAAATAAGGGAAATTGAATAGCACTACAGCTAATTACATAGTAATGAAGGCAGGGAGGGGAAAAACCGCCATTCTCACACTGTGACCTTGATTGCAAGGAAAGGGAAGATTTTAAGCCTGATAGTTGAAACACATTTTGGCAATGATGTCATTTATCCCCGCAACAGATGGTACAGGTCTATAATCCTGAGCAATTAGAAAAAGATTGCAATGCACATGACCCTAATAGGCTATAGAGAGGGCAATTTGTGCCAGAGATATTGGCAGGTAGGCATTTTAGCAGCTATAGATACACATAAAAGCTTATCATGGATGGAGAAAGGTATTTGGCACAATGAGCAACTACATGCAGTATTGATTTGTATGAGCAGCACATCACTCTTAGATTTCCTCTTGTAAGACTAATGAACATATTATTGATTTGATGTCCGCTTATCAAAAAATGGGACCACCGCCAAGCTCTGCTGTGATTTGACGTCATCTGCTCATCTTTCTGAACCCAGTATAGCACCTACATCTGCGATGCTGTCCTCTTGTGGTGCACTGATTGCAAGCATCTGGAGCTGGTAAACTAATGCCAAAGTGAGGTTGAGGCTGTTGTTTACCACTTGGGGGCAGTGTTGAGCTGCCAAAAGAGAGAACGCGTGACGCTGAAGGATTCCTACCAGGGAGGTGGGAACACTGCCAGTCATGTGGCAAAAAACAGAGCCTCTGTCAGAGTTTCTGGTGAATCACAATGCAGCACCACAATGCAGATAACAGCACTACATTTCTCTATTGTTTATATGTTACTACCCCTAAAATCAAACCTATGCACATGCACAAATCCAACGAAATGTTGCTTCATGCTTGTTTTTCATAAAACGACATTTCTTTCACACTCTCTCTTTTGCCCACACACACTCACCCAGACAAACTGAATAAGGCCCTCCAATGTCACTTCAGCTACAACACTTTGCATACAGATTCTCAGTTGTGTTATGATTGTTTTTCATCATTTTTTTTCTTCTTCAAATAAACAAATATCATTATCACTATTAATGTTAACAGGTCATAATTGTATTGACACCTTCAATTCAAAGTGAACTTTAAATTCAAACAGCATAAATGAAGTTGATGGCGAGTAAAATAAGTCAAATATGCTCTAGTGAAAGGTGCCTCTAGCGCTCAGACTCTGCTTATCTGGCTTTGTCCACATTTAAGAAGCAGCTGGGCAAACAGCCTCTCACAAAGTCAAAAGAGCTCTATGAGATGGCTGCAGCCTTAATTGCATTAAGCCCACTGCTGACTCTGGTGAAGCAGTCAGCACTGTAGGGGGTTGGAATCCTCATTAGGGTAGAATCAGTTATGATGAATATTGCTTTAAGAAAATGTTACTTATGCCAAAGAAACCCAGTGGCATGTGGCCCAGACCGGTTAACTCTACTGTTTAACGTTAAAAAACTTGACTTCTGTCATCAGGTTTAATACAGCGGTTTCAATACTCTAAAGCTTTTTAATGATTTCATGAATTACAGAGGAGACAATAACCAACATTATAAGTTCTACTTCTCTAAATGTATTGTAAAATGAGTCTCTGATGTCTTAAGAGGAAAGTGACAAGACAAGAAGAGGCGCTTTGTGAAGCTTAGGCAAAGAGAAACCTGCCAATATCTCCTCCCATTCTTTCTGCTGCTGCCTGGAGAAGTCTCATTTAGCCATCACTGATACCAAATCAACTTACTGTGGCCTGGGGGATTGACACAAAATCAATGGCATTGCATCTGCAGCGGGGACGGCATGCATTTTTAATATTCCTGAAGCTGCAGGACAGTGGGAGGAATCTGTGGGGAGGAAAGGAGGGAGAGAAGAAAACCTCAGCAGCGGGTAAGTGTGTTTTGACTGATGGACCTGGAGATTGTATCTTGTGACCCTCAGATTTATCTTTGTATAACATGCACAGCTAGGTCGCCACTGTTGTCAAGACAAGCTTTTGCCTGTGCTTAATTTATAATCACTTTGCCTTTCAAACCAGCAGTTTGGTGCATATAACATCTCAGAGGTATTAAAGAAACACAACTATAATAGGCTATAAAAGTTTGCATGCGTACTTGGCTGCAATATATAGCTCTCTCTATCATCTCCCTGAAACATGAGTTCCATCTCACACAGGCTCCGCCCTCTACTGGACTCTGTAGGTAATAGCTCTCTCCAATCACATGCACAAGCGCCTGGGTGCTCCCACCACCTCGAAGGGACTCTTTAGATGCATCTCTTTTTTTACTACTCAGCTTTGGCTGGGAGACAAGAAGACCCAGCTAAGTCACCACCTGCCACTATAGCAACATCATTAAGCCAGAGAGGAGGCGAGATGCAGCATCGTAATAGAACAGCGAGGAGGAGACCACGCAGATAGGGTAGGTCGTTGAAAGCAGGGTTGGGAGCATTTCTTTAATAATTTAATCAGTAACGTAATCCAAGTACCACAAAATAAAAGTAATGTAACCTGAGAACTTTAAGTTACTTTTGGATTACTTAGACAAGAGAGTATCAATGATGTGTTTTCTGCTCAGTGTATTTTTAGAGAAACGTGAATAAAATCTTCCATTCCCATGAAATCAAAATCCATGTTTGAATGTTTTTATGATATGCTTTGCACTATGTCACCACTATAATAATCTTTATTTGTAGAGCACTTTTCAAAAACAAGTTAAAAAGTGCTTTAACAAGTGTAAAGACAATAATACCCAAAATGGCAGTTTCTGGCCCATCAATGACAAAAAAATGTGTTTTGTAGGTGTTCTTGATGATATTTAAGAGTTTGGAAAAGCATTTTTAAATGTGTATGACTCTTCTGCACTTGTATTAATTTAGCGTCCAATGAAAAGACTCTCAGTGCTGAAGCACAGTGTTTCTGGGACCGGGCCCCACTGATTACTGCGCAAAACCACAACTTTTTTCACAGATTTTGGTAAAACTGGATCATATTTGATGGATATGTATATATTAGAAATATGGAGAAAATATTTTTCTAGTTTTCTCTCTGATGTCCCCCGGCTGCTCTGCCTCAACTTTGTGATTCACAGAGTTTCCTGATGGACAGATATCTTTACTTGTTGCTGAAGTTACTTTACAGCTAACTAGCTGATGTTATTAGCTCAGTTGGGTGTGCAAGCACTGGTCAAATTAGCTTACTCTGCCCGTACTGGGAGCTCGGCATTCAGACCAAACATGAGTTTAATCCATGCAACGCTCTCCTCGCGGGGGTTTTATCGCTGGACAACTGCTGAGTGTTCACACACGACGTGATAACGCAAATAAACACAACTCACCATTACTACAGCTGGATGAACCCAAAGTAAACATTTCGCTATGATTAAATAGCAATAAACG